TAAAGAAGGAGCGTGGTAGCTTTTTTATTTTAGGCAGAAGACTTGGAGCCAAAATACCCTAAACTTGACCACTATCCTAAAGAATGCTCATTATCTTGGGCCTTTGACAAACACATTGGCTCACATTAATTTATAAGTGACCTATAACTTATGCCCATTTCTTGTCCAGCTCCTAAAACGGGTGAGAGCCATTGTGAAGGCAAATCCCCTGTGAAATCCATACCTAGGACGACGGGAAGGCATGAGTGATTTAACTGTCTCCTCTCTTCTCCGAGTATGAGCCCTTCAGTATGAGCTCTTCCATTCATTCATCTGAGGGATTTGGGGGATACCGTATACTATCAAAGTTTCTCATCTAAGTTAATTAGTCTCCCCATTGTGTTGAGATGACTTCAGTATATAAGCAATTATATTATTTTCTTTAGATTGTTGTTGGTTTTCTTCTTTGCTTGCTTATTTGTGTCTTTTTCCATTTATACAAAAAAAAATAGTCCATGCACCCTCTTTGATCATTTTGATCCTTGAAGACTCCTTAGGATCTATGCCTGGGTAGATGAAAGGGGGATCTCTTATTAAGAAAACCTCCTAGGCCTCCTACCTCATCCCTGTGTTATTGTTGTAAAATGTAGAACTTGTGTCTTGGAGACCATTTCCATTTTCACATCTCTTGGTCTCTGATATTATTTGATAATACTCAGCATCTTAATGAAGATGTCTGAAATGTAATCTTATTTCCACTTATAGATGGAGAAAGTGAGGTACTGGAAGGTGAAATGTCATGTCCAAGATTAACCAATAAGTCAGGATAAGTCAGTAGCTTGAATCCAAGTTTTCTGACTTCAAGGATAAGAACTCTTCACTATAACTCTAACCTCAGTCTTTGCTTATTCTTTAAGGTTAACTTGTGTCATTTCCTTTAGATGTGGCTTTCCAAACATTCCAATGGATGTCACAGTCTCTGCCTATCTCAGATTGTGGCCTTCGGATATGCCTCAGGAATGCAGGCATGCCATTTCATTCATATTATTTCATCTTGATGCTCCAGACAGATGAAAATTGAAAATTAAGTCAATGAGGGGTTGCATCAGCTGTGTGTGTCCACTTAGAGAGTCCATCTGCCTTCGGCTCTTCAGCTGAGCTCATTTCTTCCAAAAACAGGAAAAGAGTCTCTGGCATATGAACACCCAAGTGGGAAAGACAAGGTTAATGCCACCCCACCCGCATCAAGTTTCCTAGCGTGGTAGAGCAAATTTCTAAATGTGTCTCCACCTGTAAGGGGATTGTTCTGAAATGAGGAACTTAATTCCTCAAGCTAGGGGAAGATGGAGCAAGATGGAAAGATCAGACTGCTCAATGTAGGCCCACTGTAAGCCAGCTCCTATGGGTAGATCATTCTCCTTCAGTCTTAAGACACATTTCCAAAAAGTGCGGTCTAAACTATGTTTGCACAGGAAGGTGTAAATCAGCAATGCCAAAGTGTAGTCATTCATTCATTCAGCAAATATCTGTTGAAAGTCTGTTAGGTTTTCCAGACATTTTTATGTGTACATGTGTGCAGTCTTCACAGTACTTCTCCCAGTGGAATATATTATTATGAATGCCACCTAGCTACTATATGGAAGGCAAGGTGATTAGTTGACCTTGGTACTGACTTCCCGTTCTTGACAGAAACCTGCTCAGCTCTGAGCATAAAGTATTCAAGGAGCACCAAGTAAAATGACGTAATGAAAACAAGAAGACCAGTTTTGTTTTATTGTGTGGTTGTTGCTGTCTTTGTTTTTCCGGGCCACACATTTGTATTCCATTCCTTACCCTGTTCTCTTCAGTGCTTGGGGCAGAGGGAGTAAAAATGGAGAGAGAATTCTCCAGAGAAGGACTGGCAGATGGAGCTGAAGGGCCCTCGGGACACTAGTAGCAAGAGAAACTGAACAGCAGAGTCCAAGGATGTTATTTTTTTTTTAAAGTGATACGGAATAGCTTTGTCAACAGAATATTGAAGAAACCAGCCACCCCCATCTCTCTCCCCTCTCTGTCCTTCTCTTTTTAATGCTACCTCTTTTTTCACTTTTGATTCTTTCTCTGTCTACCTCTCCATCCATCATTCATCTGCACATCTACCTACCTATGCACCTGTACCTCCCGTCGTTCTCAGGTTCTGCCAGTTCCAAGCAGACAGATTTATTGTAGCATTCAAAATAATGAGGAAGAAATCAGCTTTCATGATAATTGACCTCTGGTACCACTTTTGGCCACTGAGAGGTCTCTGCTAAGGAAAGGACTTAAGTCATATGAAAGAACAGATTTTACATGATTTTATTACAATCTCTCCCTATTTGTCCTTTATTACAGAGAGGACAAAAGTGGTTCCAAGAATCAGGCACCCCCAGATCTTATCCTTACATAGGTTATATTTCCAACACCATAGGGACTGTGTGTAGGGAAGGTCTCTCTCTGAGGTGTAAAAAAACAGACTCCAACTCTTAGCTCTGGTAGCAGCTCCCTCTAGTCAAGAAGCAGAGCTGTAATTCCTGTAGCTCTCAGTTTTCCCTTAGATAAAATAGGCAAGAGGGCTGTCGTTGTGCATATTGTCTCACATAATCACTACAATAACATAAATGAACATTATGATCTCATTATTATTATCATTGATAAGGAAAGGGATGTTCACAGAGAGATGAGGTTATTTTAAGTGCTACGCGACTTATGTGTGACAGAGGTAGCATTTGAACGTCAAAAACATTTGCTCTTTGCAGTCCCCTTATTGGATTTTAGAGAGAAAAGTCTGGATTTATGGCTGATCATTCTTGGATTGGCCCTAAATTTTGTTGTATCTGAGCTGGCCACAGTCACCAAGAGGTCGGGGCTACTGAGAAGTGCTGTGCCTGTGTTCTTTCCATGTTTGTACTGCCAGGCACGCTACTGGACACTGGAGTCCTCATCTGGCTCAGACCCAGGCTAAAATAATTGTATTATAATGAATTGATTTATTCTGGCTCTTTTGATGGTATTTCACTATGTAAACTGTTTGCAGAAATAAACAAGGGATTTTGGAGCTTGGAAGGGGCTCAACATTCTGCTGCCTCTGAATTCAGTGACTTCTTTTTCGGATTGTCAGCAGCATAGAAATCCAAGTCTTATTTCTCCTTGACCCCAGCTCTTCCTAGTTGGGAGAATGTTGTTTGAATATATTTCAAGAGAGTACTGATTTCACAAGTTGATTTAATTCACTCACTTAGGAACAAATCAACCCCTTAGAAGAAGAGTATTATTTTTTCTCTTGATGATTATTTAGAATGAACAAAACACATTTATGTTCATTTCCTGTGTGAGTTCTATGGTTACCCTGGCTGGGACTATCATGTCTACATTATACATGGGGAGCCAGAGACCCAGAAGCAAAGCTGGTTAGGCAGAGCTTCATAGCAAATGGAAGGAACAGAAATCAAACCTGGGTTTCTAGCCTTTAATTCAGTGCCCTTTCCAGAGCTCCACTCGGTTATTTTGGAGTCAATGGGGGAAGGATGACTCAGATCAAGCAATATTTTTTGGATGACCTTACATTTTGATTTGCCTGGGATATACGGCTTTTTCAGGATCTGTGCCAGTCACTTGAAGATGGTCTTTAATAGCACGGCCATCACTGTCAATGTATGGCAACCCTACGGTACTGGGTAGAGACCCCCATTTAGAATCCTTTGGAGGAGCTGGTAGCATGTAAAACTAATGGCAGCATGTTGAGGTCGAGATCTTTACAAAATAACCCCCACCCAGGAAGGGGTGTTTTTCTTTGCTGACATTAGAATTATTAAAAGGTGCCTGGGTGATCGCTTTCAGATGCTCACAGCCAGGCTTTTCATTGTAATAGTCTATATTCAAATGCCAGGAAGCATGCATAGTCCGTACCTGCTCAGAAGGCATCCTGCTGCTAGCTCTGTGCTTCTGTGATCCTTGTCCTTGCAGCTAAGTGAGAAGTATTGTAGCCAGTGGCCACTTTAAACCATGCCAAGCCGACACCTTGCTGTGGTTAGAATTGCACAGGAGCTTGAGAATTCTCTTGGTCTTTAACTGAACCTCCAAAGGTATCTGACAAGTCCTTAGAGGCATTAGACAGAAAGGGCTCTTGGTTTCCAGTATTCTAACCCCCTCTCCCTTGATGACTGAGTCCAGAGCAAGAAAGAGACTCATCTAACATAACAGAGCAATTTAGTTTCAGTACTGGGATGGAAGCCAGTTCATTCTTTATGCAAAACTGAAATCCTCTTTGGAGTTAAATAAATGCCAATTTGCAACTATGAAGTCCTGTGGTATCAGATGATGCACCCAGAACTTGGAAAGTGAATGCCTGACTCGGAGTCCTAGGTCTGGCATTAGTGCACACTGTGACCCTCGGGCAAGTTATTAAAGCCCCACAGGAGCTCCGTTTCCTCATCAGAAAAACTGAAAGAGTCATAAAATATGACACCTTCCCCATGAGGTGGTTGTGAGGTTTACTTGGGGGTAATTAAGGCGGAAGTGTGAACTTTTTGGTGTGCATATGACAAAACATGAAATCTGCTTTCTTAATATATTTTAGTGTAGAGTAAAATAAATGTTTGTTGTCTGCCCAACGTGGTGCTGGATCGTTTTCAACTTGCTTCACGGAAGCTCCCTATTCATGAACAGCTCCTCCCTTCCCCTCTCTCCAGACCATGGCGATACCCATTCTTCGTTCTGCTTCTATGAGATTTGCTGCTTCAGACCCCTCATAGAAGTGGAAGCATGCAGTGTGTGCTTCTGTGACTGACTCATTTCATGTACAACAATGTTCGCCACATTGTTGTATATAACAGAATTTCCCTTTTTTTTCCCCCTTAAGGCTGGAGAATATTCTGTTGTGACTCAGGGTGATGGGCTTGCCATGACATGGTTTTGGTGGTCTAATCTCCTAACTGCTGATGGTAACTGAGGACAAAGAATGAATATTTATCTATTCTTTCCCCTTCTATGTCCATCTCCTGCAGATGAACCCAGCCGGTGCTATTTCCATGATGGGGACGGTGTATGTGAAGAGTTTGAACAAAAGACTAGCATTAAAGACTGTGGCGTCTACACACCTCAGGGGTTCCTGGATCAGTGGGCATCCAATGCTTCAGTGTCTCATCAGGACCAACAGTGCCCAGGCTGGGTTGTCATCGGACAGCCAGCAGCATCCCAGGTAAGATCCCAACCACGTGTGCCACTTCTTGCAGATGCTCTGAATCTCTGCTCGGAGTGGCGCTCAAGGTGGGTCATTTCAAATGCAGTGTCTTTGGTCTGGCCCCTTGGGCATATTTTTAGCCAAATGTAATGTCCCTAGCTTTTGAGTACCATTTGTAAAGGACTAGAAATGCAATGGCCAAGGGAGGATATATCAACACAATAGGGATAATGACTGTCCTTCGATGTCCCTACTATAATTCATAATTGGATATACCATGGAAATTCAGTGAAGGTAAGAACAAATTCATTTTGAGGAGTCTATCTGTTTAGTGGAGAGTGCCAAATTGTATTCCTCCTGAATCAGTGATTACTCTACAGTAAATTGGCTGTGTTGCTTTGGGCTAGTCTCTCCATCTCTCTGGATCCTATTTTTTCCCATCTTTAAAATAGAGAGCTTTATGATCTCCAAGGACCTTCCCAATCCTAAGAAGCTCACACTCGTTCTTCAGTCCCATAATGCACCATTTATGTACCATGGTTCTCCCCCAGGGGACTGGCAGCTTAGTTGAAGGAACAAGAGTTTTGGGGCCACCAGAGCTTGTGTGATTCTAGGGATGGCTGTGCTGTCCCCAGAGCTCCCTTTCCAATTATCCTGCTGAGCAAGCACCTGCCTTCTTTCGAGACTCCCTTTTCCCTGAGACACAAGTCAGTGCTTCTGACTGCCCAGCCCAATGGCTATTTGTGAGCTGGGGTGCCTCTGGCTCTCACAGATGAACCATGAACCCCAGTGTACTTCTCGAATTTTGCTTCCTTGACTCTGGTTCAGTGGGGTAGGACTGTCTTCTTTCTAGATAAAGAGAATTACAACCTGCTGGGTGCCACAGAAGAATTACTAGTACAAGATAAGACCACCTCATTTATTAGTTTCCACGTTTACTTGAGCGTTTTTTTTTTTTTTGTCTTATGAAAGCTTATGTTGACATTATTAGATTCTTTTATTTATTCATCTGCATTTATTTCTGGGTGTCTTATGGAGAGTGGTGAGAATAGGAATCTGGTGTTCCCTAATGCCTCTCATGTATATCGTCAGCCTGGTAAATGAACAGAGGCCAGAGTTCCCCTCTCCACCTCTCTACTTGGTGAGCTCCCTTCAGTGGTCACACCCATTCACTTGTCCACCTGGCTGCCCCATTAGGCTCTCAGTTCTTTGAGAGTAGATGCAAGTTTCATTCATCTTTGTCCTTTTACCTTCAACATGGGATCTGGATATGCCTAGATGATCAGGAAATGTCTATTACTACATGCAAACAAACAATTCTGAAAGAAGATGCTGGGTGTCACCTCTCCATCACACAGAATGTACGGGAATCCCAAATTCGATACCAGCATCCAGTTCCCAGAGATGTTTAAAAAAAAAAATCTCTCAAACAAGAGAATCATCAACACACTCAGAACCTCATCTGAACAGGGTCGAGGTAGCAGCTGTGTTTAAAAACCACCCAAGGTTATTGCCACTAATGTGAGCAAAGGAGAGAATTTTCCAGTCTTAGCATTTGAAAAGAGGCTTCATGGGGGCAATTATTCCAATCTTGTATGGAGAGGGCTGTCAGGAATTATGGGTGATTATCTCTTCCTAAACAAAAATCCAATTTAAAAAAAATCATTATAAATACTAGCTCTTCGATCTACAAAGAGGAGATGAGGAAACAAAATCATCCTATTGAATTATTCATTGTAACCAATTTTATTTTAATGAAATCGACTAGGTTCCATTACTCTGGGCTTGGACATAATCTTTGTTACAAGGAGACTTCAGCTGTAACTAAATTTGCCATAATGAGATCAGCTCACTGGAGAATACAGGGTCAGGGAGGGGATCTGCGCGCAGGCTGGGTGCAGGGCCAGGCCGAGGGCGGCCTGGAGTGTGTAGAACAAAAGTCTCCCACGTTCCTCATATGAAGGCTAGTGCCTAGAATCATTCCCACCTCCCCCCGCCATCATGCACACAGGTGCATGTGCTAACATGTGTGCACACGCATGTTCACACATAGACAACCAGAGCCTGCTTAATTCAGGTTAAAGGCTATTCCTGACATGGAAACAGCTCCCTCTGACAGCAGAGAGGCAGGAGACTGTGCCCTTCATTACCTTGTGCAGTGATTAGTGGAGACTGGTACCTTATTTTCACCCTGTCAGGGCCTCCAGTGAAGACGTTGATGGTGTGAGGGAGGGGCAGGGAGGCTCTTGGAAGTTGCTCTTAAGATGGAAAAGTACACCATGTGCCTCTGCCTCTTCTGATACTCTCCTCTCTCTTTCTCTCTAACACACACACACACACACACACACACACACACAAATTCATACATGAATAGACCCCCATAGGAGCTAGAGTCCAGAGAGTGACTAGAGCAGATAGAGGAAGCTAGGGGAAGGAGCTGGTAGTTACTGAGGCCACCAACCCCTGTGCTGGACACTCATTCCATTCTGCAAGGTGAGAATTCGTGTCTACCTTGGAGAACCTGAGTAGCCCAGTGGTCTCCCCAGGGAGTCCCACAGCCTGACGTGGAGAATCTAGAGTTAGAAGGAGCTTGTGGAAGATACAGCAGGAGCTCAGGAACGTGAGGGCACATCTGAAAGTTGAAAGTAACTGGATTCCTAGGAAAGCAGCCGTGCGAGGAGGACAGATCTCAATGCTGGTATCACTGTGAGCCCCCCCCCCCCCGAGGGGCTGGAATCGAGGCTGTACCCACTCCAGGACACAGTGACCTGTTCTATGGGCCCCTGGGCACTCCTTTCCCTGGGGAAAGATGAAATGACCAAAGCTGTCCCCTTCTTCTTTATACTCCATTGTGTCCAACTCTCTATCTTTCTCTGATGCTGTAAAAATAATAAACACAGATGTTTATCAGAGGTATGAGGCTACCTCTTCCTAGGACCTAGGAAGGGAACCAAAGACTGTAAGACCCAGGCTCTGACCTTACCACTGTGCAAGACACAGGGGTGAGAACTCTGTCCAGAGGTACAGCCTTATCAGAATAAGTCTGCCGGCTCTCGTGACCCTTGTAAGCACACAACACTCCTTGTGTTACATGGCTTAGAATACTAATGAAGACGTCAGTTTTGATTTTGTGTGAACCTGCCACTTCTAATGATTTCCAGTTGCTCTTGTCCAATCTCTTCAAACAAGATTCCCAAATTTGGTTAGAGTAAAGCTGAGTCCAAACATCGAGTCTCGTGTCCAAACGTTATCAGAAGTATCAAAACTTTCTGGTTGTGCAAATTGGGCTGAACATCCTATAATAAGAGACATTCTTTGGATATTTTGGCCACGTACCTTCCCAGCCCAGCTGGAATCAAGAAGTTCCTGAGACGGAACAAAAATGGAAATGAACTGAAAGAATCAAGTTATCTCTCTTCTGGGAAGCTGATACATGGGTTAGTTTAAGTGCTTGCAGAGATCTCGTCTTGTTCTTATTTTGTCTCCACCTGTCACATTTCTCTAATGCTTTGCACCAAAGGCTGCCAAAGTGCACCATAGATATTGTTTCCTTCTGCTGTCGCCCCTGACCTTTCTACCAAACTCTGCTTCCTCCTCTCCAAACAGGCACCTTTCTCCTTTGCAGTGATGGAAGGAAGACATGGAAATTCTGAGACTGTCTGGGATTTACTCTCCTAGGGAGTACAAGGCTCAGTCAACCAACCAATTTATTTGGTTCATCCTTTGAAGGCAAGACTTAGACTAACCATTTCCAGGGCAGTAGTGTGAGGGCTAGACTAAAGAAAATGTGTCTATGGTGTTACTATGAAACATTCTATATTATAGAAAATTCCTGCATTAGAAGGCAGATGAGACCCAGGGACCTTTTCTTTCTTTGTAATTGATTTTCTGACTTTATATCCCATTAACCCAATAGTGAGCAAACTATACTTTTGCTGCCTTACTTTGAGTTGCTATTATCTATTCCTTGTTGTGTCCACAATAATTTGTGCCTCCACTGAAATGCAAACCATAGATATCTTGTGGTATAGCGATTTATATACTAATTCATTTACTCATTTGATCATATAGAAATATATTTGAGTCTTGCCTCAAGGAATGTCAGGGAGAGAGCATGGGCAGCAATGAGGTGAGGTAGAAGTCCTGCAAGTCTGGCTTTGCTCTTATAACTTTGGTCCCTTCTTGGGAACATACAGTAAGTTACTCCTCTGGAATCTCAGTATCCTACTCTGGTCAATGGGAAGGGTAACATGTGCCTGTAGGAGATTAAGGTGAAAATATCTGCCTGGTGGAGATGAAGGATGCAGAGAAAAATACCCAGTGCTGGATTTTAGCACCTACTGAGTAATATAGATATTAATTCCCTGTCTCATTCATGCTAGGTTCTCCTATACACGTTCACCCACGAGCTGGTCAAGAGTGACCCACTTAGTAGAGAGGCTCAGCCAACACTTTTGCTGAGGTTAAACAGCATCACCAAACATTTGTTGCATACTCAAAATTGTAGCAGGTACTTGGAGAAACATCAAGAAAGTCCTGGTCCTTTTGCTGTCTTCAAAGAGCTTACTATTTCAATAGAGGAGTGCATCCAACTACAAACAGCAGCCAAAGACCCAAGGGGGTGAGACCCAGAGGGAGTTTTCCTGGGAAAGAAACACTGCTATGATGCTACCAGCTTACTCAGCCAGCAGGGATGGGAGTCAGTATTTTGCCCACTTTCAGAAGGTATCAGACTAATTATTATATTTTTAAAAGCATTTACTAAGTTTCTCTGAAGTTTCCACCAAATTCCTTGAATCTAAAGCTACTATAGAAATAGGAGTCAGTGTTGTCACATTACAGATTAGGACACTAAGGCTCAGAGAGCACAGTGCCTTGCTTTGGGGCTTACTCTTGGAAGGGCCAGAATCAGGAAGCAGGATGCAGGCCACTGTGTCCCAGAGAGGAGCCCAGGTACAGGACAAGGCAGTTGAAGCCTGCATTGTAGCCGATGCATGAGAATAGATGGAAGAGCTGAT